GGTGCTCCGGTTTCCTCCTGTTAGTTCAAATCATATCTTTATGGAAGTGCTACCGATGAAAAAGAAAAGGAAAAAGTGTATTATTTGATATTCAAAATGGACTTGTCCTAGTAATAAGTGAAGAGACTCGATGAACTGAAAAACACAGTGAAACTTGGATGCCAGAGGCATGCAATGGAAACTAAGACCAATGCTATTATTTATTAAAAAATTGTTCCGCCTTTCTGATATCGCGTTTAAGAGGATGTAAACAGATCCAAGACTCACCAGCCCATGTTACAGTCGTGTAGTCTCAAATGATATGGCCATTATGTTTCCTCATAGGTAGTGTTATATGTAGAAATTTTCAATTTTTTTAAATGCTATTTTTAAAAAAATACGTTAGTTAACGGACAAACACTAAGAAATGAAAAAACATGCTGACTTTGACAGAGACATGTAATATCCCAACAATGAAATATGAGGCAGTATAGGCAACTTCCGAATTTATTCACGATTTTGACGTTTAAGTGGACACACAACTGGCGAAGTCATAGCTGGAATGAGTTATGGTATTCGAGTCGTGTATGTTCACCTAGATGAGTTAGTATATTTTATTTTTGAACTTGTAAGTGCTACTTAAGTTAATAATTTAACAGAGTTCAGTAAGTAAAACTGTGGGGATGAGAAAAACGACACGAAATGTCACGTTTGAATGGATTTTTGATATACCAAAAAGCTTTTCTTAACTGAGAAAGGAATATTGGATCGATGGTAAGAATAAACTAATTGTAATTGTGAGATTTTTTTTATTAAAACAAGTCATGCGAGGCCGGGTCTAAGTTGCTCTGCAATGTAAACATGCCCAAGGGATTGAAGAACTTTTTAAAAATTGAAATTATTAATTATGCTTCATGTTCCTTTACATAATTACGAGAGTTATTGATGTTGGCGAAGTCTCGAGAAATACTCTTGCTATACTAGTTCAAAGGTCTTTCTTTAAGCAATTAAAAAAAATAAAAAAAAAAAAAAATAGACCGTAGGGAAATTTATCTACAAAAATGGAAAATTAAATTTCTCCGTTCTGAATTTCTCACAAGAACAGGTGTTCATAATTCAATGTGTTATGGCAATATTGTGACCATGACATCATCACATAAACACTCCAAGCAGATGTTGTACATAGTAGATGTTCGAGTAGAACAGCTTTTAGTTAATATGTGACATTTGCATAGAGTCCGTCCGGAATCCTGCCCTGGCAGCTGAGCAAGATGGCACCTGGCATAGAAGTAATATCACTTATTAAAAATTTAGGAATAAAATTGAGTAAACTATTTTTAAAAAGTAAAACAAACTAAAAGACACATTTTCCGAATAAAAGGTTGACTTGTGAAGAAAATACCCATCCGATTTTCAGTAAATTAATCTTAGTCGGAAGCTCACTCTGACTATAAACCAAGAGTTTTATTAACTTGATATCGCTTGAATTGCAAAAGTTATCAGATTTAAAGGTTTCATCCTACTTTGTTCTTAAAAGCAAATCATAAGAATAAATTAGGCACGCTCACTACACTGAGGACGAAAGAACGAAGCAAAAAACATCTTTACAGAGGCCAGTTTACCTTTTCCCAACTCAGCTGATGTTAAATGGTGTCAAATGTACATGTCTAACTTAATCCAAACCTATTTTACTTTTTTCTTTTGGTTTTTTCTTGGACTTTTTGACAACGTTAGTGCAATTAGGTTTATGTTGTCACTGGTAAAATACCACAACTGTTTTATTACAATCTTTCTAAAGGAGAAAACAGGAAAGACTTCCCGATACAAACACTACTTGCAGTTAAGACATGCTCAGAGACCCTTCCTTTTATGTAGTAAACTGCATGCGCCTCCTAAATCCACGATCCCTCATTAAATATCAGTCCCCCGAAGAAACTGACGAGAGCCGGCTTTAATTTAAAGTCAATCATAAAAAGAGTTAATTAATCTTATACTTACTCCAAGACACCGTCGTTCATCATGTTGCACTGGCAGACGCCGACGCTCGAACCGTCTTGGTATTCCTTCTTCTGCATTGCTCCTTCTATCCCCTTCAATTTCCAGTCTCTGTGCTCTGTTTACTCTTTGTTGTTCTTCCCTTGTCGCGCTCTCTACGAGGAAAGCTCTGTGCTCACGGCGGGTTGCTGTAAGAGCCAAGTACATTTTGAAAACACAGAGCAGTACGATCAGCATCACGAGAAATGAGGCCACACCATAAATATGTTCGAACATCATTGCAATGTTCCTGGCGGTCAGTGAAGCAACGGGATGAATGAGATATAAACTTGCTCGAGAAACTTGGTTTGTTTGCAGTGCTTGAAAGGTCAGGCTGTAGCTCCTTGTCGTGACTGCTCAGTCATTTTCACGGATTCAATTATCCATGGCGTATATATTCAACCAACACGTGAGGGAAATCAGCATAGACCGCCAATCAGCCAATCATAGAACTCGAACTGTCCGGGAAAGCCCCTAAAAGTAATTGCACCTCTTCACCTTGTGTGTTGTTTTCCTCCCAATACAGGTTGTGATAATACCCTTACTACAGAACTGTTTCTTATATTGCTACAAAACAGACTTTTCAAATGAAGGTAATTCAACTACATTTAAATATTAATTTAACTTTTATTACGTGGTAGCCCGTAGAAGGGGCTAAGGGTACTTACATCCAAGTTTGTTTCTCCCGGGCGGTATTCACCACAATATTTAATACAGCCTTTATAACCCTTCCGCTTGTAAGAATTCCCATATACTAGTTCCAAGGTCGATGTTTTAGCAAAAAAAAAAGAAAGAACTAAAATAGACTGTGGAAGAAACAGTCACAAACAAAGTAAATACCTATAATACTTCCGCGTGCAAAAATTCCCATACACTAGTTCAAAGATCGTTGTTTTAGCAAAAAAAAAAAAAAAAAAGAACTAAAATAGACTGTAGGAAAATTAATCTACAAAAAATGGAAAATCAAATTTAACCGTGCTGAATTTGATAGTGAGATTCGCTTCTCTAAACTAAACGGGGCAAGTTATAAAACAAATTCAACACTTAACGGATCGATGGCTTGTTGTCTAGGTGCGTGTTCCTTTTCCTGTTCTGTCAAATACCAAAATTATACAGTCACGTTCAGCTTATTTTTTATTAATCGTTCATTTGCAAACCAAAGTGAGTTAACGTTCCAAAGGAAATTACTTGGATTTTATCATGTGTATCGATGTGTAAATTCACGCCTGAGAGCTTAAGAATAGACAGAACTCATACTTCACTGAACGCATGTTCAGTATAACCGACCAGTAGTGTTGAGTTCTGTAAATGTTGAACACGGCTCCTTTCTGAACATAGCAAGAACAAAACAAGATAAACATTGAGAGATTGTCTAAACGTTTCGTTTCAAAACTTTCCATTTTTTACTTGTTATTATTTGTCTTTATTCAGACAGCTTCGTCTGGCCCATAAAAACGATGAAGGAAATAAAATGGGTTGTTTGATCTTGACCTAAACGTAAAACCTTGGCATGGTCATATGCAAATGTAACAACAGCCGATGTTTCATATAAAGCTTGAAGTGATCTCTGCCGATCGAGATAGGTGTCTCCGAGTGTGCCAAATAAGTCGTGTTCCAGTTCTGCCAGCTTAATATGGTTACAGGCAGGAATAACACCGGTAAACAAAATCATGTCTTGAAAGCGATTGATCAAGCTTTAATCCGGTATCGCAATGTATAAATAAAGTGAGCATTTGTCGTCTCTTATAAATTGTCTTTGATTTTAAAGTTCTGAAGCCATAGCTTTTGAATCAAGATAAAAAGGACATTTGCCCAGGGTCTCGAAAATAGGAGAAAGGTCAGTGTTCCATTGTCATTGTTTTGTGGCAAAAGTCCGTCTACAAGCATTTTTTAACATACCTCTTGTCCAGACGATCAAATTTTAAAGGTAAAGGTTATTTAAAGCAACCATATTTCACGTCCGCAACTCGTGACAGTAATTCATCTGATAGACTTTGAGGTCGACGGTGCGCTCATATGCTCTTCCTTGGCTGCCTCATTGCTCCGGTAAAAAGGAGTGCGGTGTTCGACCGCGGCTGCCAGGCCGCTGTCATGGAATAATTAAGGTTGATGCTCTATAGATCAAGATGCCGCACTTGATCGACAAATGAATGGATCAAGTTAAGAGACTTCTAGCCGGGAATTCGTTAGGTGTTTGGGTTAAATGCCATTGAACCAGGAGAAATAACAACCCCAGTTTTATTTTCTCCTTAATCAAACTTGCTCTGTTATCGACTAAAACGAGTCTTTACCAGAACAATTTAATGGCATGCAGTATTTCGATGGCGATAAATTTATCCGTAGTACCGCATGGCCTACATAAAAATGAAGCTCATCGAAGGTTCAATTTGTATAGGTAATAGCATGATTTGTAGTGATATTTCGTACAAATACCACAAGTGATATTTCCAAATTGTTATACATAATTTCATGAGCCGTTAGGCGAGTGAAATTTGAGACAATTTTAAAATATCACGAGTGGTATTTTTGCCAAATATCACGTACAAATCATGCTATTATTTGTTTATACTACTACTCACAAAAGGTTTGTAATTTTCCCATGTAGGTATTTCAAATCAAGCTGAAATACCACTGCTCTAAGCCAATCAAATTGCAGTAATTTCTCATGTAGTAGTATAAATCTTGAATTAACTGATTGGATTACCCATATTAAAGCTCATAGTCTCCAATCGTTAATGCACACATATTTCTTGTGGAAAAGACCGAAAGCCACTCAGTTTGATTCGGGATTTTTTATAACCCTAGATAGACCCTATAGACACTCCATATCGGTCTCAAAAATGGTCTTATTTGGACATTTGAGGTTTTATGTCCAATATTTAAGGAGTTTATCCTGGGAAGAAGCAGTCACACAAAAAGTATAAGCCTATAATACTTCCGCGTGCAAGAATTCCCATGCATATACTAGGGTGACTCACGTCACGGCCAAGAGTTTTGGTACCCAATTGCCAGCACTTCCTTATATGCACCTTCTTACATTTTTACCAGTGCTTTGAAGCAGATCTTAAAACAGTTGCCCCGTAATTTTACAGTCATTTTCTTGAGTCAATCCTATGGGAGACTTCGTAGAATTCAGTGCGGGTAATGACCTCAGCAGTGGATAGCGATCTGCCACTGATCTGCAGAGAAATTGTCGTGGTGCTTTAAGAGGAGATTGAAATTAAGGCTCGGATTGTGTCTTCAAATATCATATATAGCAGTCTCCCTACATTCCCTTTGACGTGTTTTACTTTGACTGAGTTACGTTCAGTCTGGTCCCAGGGGTCTGGTTACGTCAGCCTGTATACAGCTGTTTCGAGAAAGGCTGTCGGAAAAAGTGCACGCGACAATCCCGAAAGGTATTGTGGGTGGTTTTTAGTACACTGTTTTTCAAAGAAATTTCAAAGAATGGCACGAGAGGCCATGGATATATGTTTGCGAGTGCTAAAGGAAAGCAACAAAAGTAGGTTCGACAGCTACAGTGTCAACAACAAGTGTATTGATCATATCCCATATTACCTTTCGGGATTGTCGCGTGCACAGTTTTTGCGACAACCTTTCTCGAAATAGCTGTATAAAGTATTTTTTTCGAAATCTTCAATATAAACTGAAAGGGGACACACTATGCAAGTAATCAATTACACGAAATGGATAGGATGACATATCACTAAGGAAAACAACGCAAAATAATTGTATCAAATTGAAAGGTTAACATATAAGCACCTGTCAGTCCATACTTCTGTAGTTAGCTGTAGTAACGTACAGAGAAAAAAATTACCAGAAAATCATAAACTAAGGTCTATGCAGAAACTTCTGGCGGGTTACACGTTGAGCCTGTTTTGTTCTGCGTAGTTTCTCATGCACGATCTCTTGTACATGATATATTTCTTCTACATCAAAACGTTTTTAAGATAATAATAGGGACTTTAAGATCCAACGACGCGACGGCGACAAGAACATCGCTTAAAAAGTGAATATGCGTTCTTTCAGTCTTTATAGCGATTATTCCTAGCCACTTACTTTGTCAATTGTAGGCGAACCCTCCTGAAGCTGAATTTCAAGGGACCATAGCCAAGCTCAAAAAGAGAAATAAAATTTCGTCGTTGCTTGTTTACGTCCTGCATAAAACGCGGAATTAGGCATTTTCACGTCGCAGTCGTGCAAAAACGGGAAAGAAATGTACAAAAAAGTGTGATGCACGTGCGAAATTGCGGTTTTGCTAATTAAACCTATTGTTTTTTTGACGTTCTCGTTGTCGTCCGCGTCGTTGGATCTTAAAGTCCCTAATAGCTTCCCTGCGCTGCAGCCGGACTTGTCACTCGAGACCCAGATAGAGAGCTCGACATAACCTATTTCCGCGAATAATAGCCGTCCCTAGATTAATCGCCTCCATCGAATAATCGCCCCCTTTGATGGAAATATTTAAAATAATCGCCTCCCTTGAATAATCGCCCCTCCCCCCATCCTTCTCGCCATTTTCTCTTTCTTTTATCACCTCCCTGTCAAGTTGAAGTGGAAACTGATCAAAGACGATTCAAGCTCTGAAAATGAATCACAGAACCAAATTTGGAAAACTTAAAAAGCCCATTTTCAGTTTATTTGATCTGATAACTTTTTGATTTAGATGGGATAATAAAACAAAATATTTACTGCACGACTTCCAGTAAGCAATATTTGAAATGATCGCCTCCCTCGAATAATCGCCCCCTTTTGATGCGAAAAAAGAAATAATCGACCCCGGCTATTATTTGAGGAAATACGGTATATTTCGGTATATAAAACTGTGTGCGACGCGGGCTATAGGTCACGATTTTCGAACTTTCTTTTTGGGTTATTTAGCCAAGGTTCAGGGAATCCCCATATAGCTGTCGTGTTATTTAAATTAATGTAATCCGCACCCCTGTGTTACTACGTACGTAATATCGGTACTAAGTCGTCGCTGAAAGCAAGTAGGGAAAGCGCTGAGAGCGGCCATTAAAGTATTTGGTCGAACAGACTCATACGTTACCAAATCAAGTTTAACTGTTTTTCTACTATAAAGCAGATTTCTGTTTATATGTTCAGTGGACGTTTTACCAAAAATTTACCGTTCAAAGCTGCGCGACTTTTGCACGGCCAATTATTTTGCTTTGTATTGTTCCTAGTTTCTTTTGTTTTTTTTTTTCTATTTCCTCTGTTGAACTGAGTTGCCCATACCTACATTCGACTACATTTTCTCTGTCTTCGTCTCACAAAGTACAGGGTACATTCGACTGTCGGTTTTTTTTCTGGAATGCATAACGCCATAGCAACCGCCTCAGTTTTAGTCA